CAGTAATCTTCTCCAAAACTGTTCCAGACATCCTGGACTCGTTCCCATAATTCCAATATCCCTCCAGGTGGGTCTTCGTACTCGCCTAGACGTCGCTTAAGCTCTGCCCAGAGGTTTTCGATCGGATTCAGGTCTGGAGAGTTTGCTGGCCACTCCATAACCTCGATTCCATGGTCCTCGAACCATTTCAGACAGACTTTTGCCTTATGGGAGCTGGCATTGTCTTGTTGAAAAATCACCTCCCCAGGTTCCATCCCTAAATATTCTAGGCTCCGTGAGAATTCATCGCCCAGTATCTCTAGATATAGCTCCTTATTCAAGGAACGCTCCAAACGACACCCAAATCCAGTTCCGGACCAGCCCATACACCCCCAGAACATGACTGACCCTCCACCAAAGTTGGCGGTTGGAATAACCTGCCGGTCCGTGAGTGTCTCCCCTTGCCGAACCCAAGCCCAATGGACCCCATCTGACCCCAGTCGATTGATTTTGGTCTCGTCTGACCATAAAACACGCTTCCAATCCTCCATTGTCCAATATCTATGTGCCTCGGCAAAAGCAATCCGATCCAGGATGTGCTGCGGAGTGTGCTTTGGCTTCTTGATAGCTTTCACAGGCCTTAAGCCTGCCCTCTTCAGCGCCCGGGTCACTGTTTTGCGATGCATGGTCTGTCCCGTAAGTTCGCAGAGGGCTTGTGTAGCTCGGCGAGTGGAAACCGAGTTGTGGTTGGTCACAAGTCGAACAGCATACCGTGTTTCTGTGGGGTTCAACTTGCGAGGACGCCCGCCAACTGCCTTGACCAGGTCAGGACGATACCTAGCACATATGTTGGTGATAGAACCAGCGGAAATTGGCATTCTTGCTTTGATCTCGGGGTGTGTGTGACCAGAGTTGAGCAGTGCAAGCACAGAGTTGATTTGGGCTTGAGTCAGGGCTTTGGGCATGCTTAGAAGGCTAGTTAGTTACTGTATGCAAGCGTATATGCGCTATAAATACTGTAAATTTTGTGCCTAGAGCATTGCGCATAGCCATATGAAACAGTTTCAAACATGTAAGGCGGGCTTGCATATCATGAAACTGGGGACAGAACCGCTCATATGCATATTGCATTGTATTTTAATCATAACTCCGCAAATACCCTTTGAAACATGTTTTGTATATATTCGATTTGAAGCTCAGATGTATAGCTATCAAACGGTACTACATACATGCGGCTGCGTGCAGTGAGCCTCAAGCTATTGACGTTCTAAGTCAAAACTTCGATCGCTGTGAGCGGTTTTGTCCCGAACTGTATATTCTCCCCTTTCTTGGGCCCGAATTCTTGCAAGGAGACATATATACGTGATTAGTGCGTATCTTTTTTGTAATCAAGTATCATTTAGTGTCGTTGCGAGGCGAAGCCTCACGGTGCGACGTGCTACAAAGAAATAGAGGGCCTGGGATGACACAAGAGAGAATAGACGAACTGAGATGCAACAGGCGGTGCGGGATACCAGAAACTGTAGATAAGGGACCGAGAACTAAGTATAGACGATGGCGCATTGAAAGCAAGAACTGCCAAGTAGTGCGTATCTTGGCAATGTAGTACTCCTGGTACGCAAATTTCTGTGTGCCAAAAGCGAAGAACCGATCAGCAATCAGCTATAATTCGCTCCCTAACCTTCCTTACGCCTTGCGAGCTCCGGCTGCATAGACAGCCTACGGCTTCTGGGATGGTCACTGCAGGTGATTTGCAAGCTCTTCTAAGTCGTTCGTTTCAAGTTCATTTTCACCATTGTTTGGCAACCTTCCCGCCACCTCTCACTCCTAGTTCTCATACTCTTCGTTGAGGCCGTTTTTTTAAGGTCATGCTCCACCTCTTCCTGTCTATTGGCATCTGCCTAAACAAACTATCCGCCCCTCATCACTTCCCCCACCCCCTTACTCGCGCACTGTACCTCATCGCCTCTCCACCATCTACCCGCATCCAATGGCGCTATTAGCCCAATATGTGCAAACTTATAGAGGCTTAGCGGTGTACTGTTTAGCATGTATGCTGGCTTACCCAACTCAAGCGAAGCTAGCGCGAGGAGTGGACCATACAGGGAGAATAAAGTTTGACTATAGTGATGCAAATATCAAGGCGATGCTAACATAACAGCATGAGAGAGGTATGAACCAATCTTCCGTATCTCTACGTTCTCTATGCTATTCACCGCGGCATTGGCCGCTCCTATAGCCGGCGCTACCCCAACTAGACAGAAGAAGCGCGGCTCATTCTACCACCGTCTCATGTTGCCACTCTACGATTGTATGAGTGTAACGATGAGATACAGATATATTTACACACCGTGGGTTGTTGGATACATTGAGAGGAAGCGTAAATGTGGTTACCGGAAAGTGAAGAAATGTAGTTCGCTCGTGCGTGTACGCCTTTACTGAGCACGGGGCCGGACGCTTGCTCCGGTACGACCTATCGGCCGGTATCCGCCTCCGGCAAGGTGGGAGACGCAGGCGCCGCCAGAGGCGGTGCGAGGATGGCCGGATCCCGAACCGCGAGAGCGACTCGCGGGTCGGGTGGGCCTCAACCTGCCGATGAGTCGTACCTGAGGGATGGTGGGTGGGTAAAAGGCGCGATGCGCGACATTTGGGCGCTGTCACGACATGATCGTGGACAAGCGCAAGAGGAAGCGCGTTCGCGTGGCGGCATGTGACCGGCGCACCGCGGCGGCGATTCCCTCACCCAGTATTCGCCGTGCATCTCCGCCGGCTCCGTTGCACTGCTACACAATGGACCATCACTGCTTCGAGTAAGGCAAAAAGATGTCTAGTTGGCCTTTCGACTTTTAACATGTTCGCCTATACCTACAGGCTCAGAATAAACGAGTTTTTCTACTTTAGTGTTCTAGCAAAATGGCCTCAATCCTAGATTCAATCAAGGTAGGTTGTTAGCGTTACCTCACACTAGCGCTGCTGTAAGTATGTCAACATGGTTTGCATCCACGCCCGTAAGAGCAGCTAGGAATCCAGCACTCTCTATTGTTGTCAGTGACAAAAGGGAGCATTGCTCTTAGGTCTTACTGGTACCCAAGATTGGTAATTGCCAAGTGTGTGGTGTGAAAGTCACAGAACGTTGACTAAACCCCAAATCAGAGATGTTGTAGTTTTCTAATCCCATGCGCTATAGAACCACCTTTACTTTTTGTTATAATTTAAGACCATGCCGAGAAAATCTGCTCTAGTCGCCAGAAGTACACATGAGCTTACTAGCATTGAGAGCGATAGAAAGAAACGAATGTTGCATGGCTTCGAACGAGTAGGCTTTCTGAAAAATATTGATATCTTCGAGACTATCACCAAACAATGGATCGGTGTCCATCGATAAAACAATCATCCAGTCGTGAGAGATTTCGTTGTCCAAGCCGGTGCAGGGCGCGAGCAGTAGAGGCAGCCGAACCATTAGATGAATATTTTCTGCGACGATATATCACAGGGTTGGGAAGCGGATAGCTTTGGTGCAAGGTGGGGAGCGGGGGGAGGATAAGAAATGCGAGTCAACTGGGTCTCTAGAATGTGGACATGTACCATGGTAACACATTGCACCCGACATAAGCAGAAAACGAACTCTAGCGAGTTACAAGATAGGGGCTGTTGAGCGTTTGCTGTGAGGGTGGGATTCAACAGCATTGGACTTCACGTGATGGCAAGTGGTACCCAGGGCTTTTTCAGCAACATCAGTCTTTATCAGCAAGTAAAATACTGGGATCTCTTAGCTATTACGCCTTGGAGTATGATAGGCCGAGAAACCATCAACACTGATGTCATCAGCTCCGCGAATTGTATGTACCATTCTCAAATTTACTTGGTAAAAATAGAGCGGGCCCATGAAAGATCACATACGCGCTAGAGCAATACGACGTCATGATCCGCTTGTTCCTCTACTAGCTTAATTGGCCCTGGTTTCACCATGACTGAGTATATGCACTCTGGTCCAACCGCCAAATCAGCTCACCCGAATGCAGTCATTGCAGAACTTGATCAACGTCATTTCAAAACGTCATTTCTATGTCCTCATATGTGCACGTGATCACACCATTCAACTGAATTGTATGTATACTCCGTGCATATAAAGCCTAGATTCCTGCCTCGGAGTTGCGCCCAAACCGCTCTGACATGAAGTTCTCTGCTGTTCTCGTTCTCTGCGTTGCCGCTGTCTATGGCCAGAGCAGTTCTGGTACAAGTAGGTATCTACTGGAGTGGTAGATTCAGTGCTCACCCTTGCCACCAGCGTCTGTCAACTCGTTGTCAGCCTCGGTCTCGCAGATCACAAGCTCTGCATCAGCCGCGCTGTCCTCGATCGAAGCAGGCGCAAACTCGACGCGCTCTACGGCTATCGCTGCTTCAACCTCTCGCGGCCAGTCCATCACAAGCGCGCTGTCCACGGCTACTGCACCAGTGAGCAGTGCCATTAGCGTGAGTTTGTATTCCCAATGTTGGTTCCCAGCTGAGCACAGTTTTCAGTCAATCTTGGCATCCGCATCCAACGCCTCGGTCTCGGCAACGTCTGCGGCAGCCAATGTAAGCGACCTAGTTGATATGAGATCTGTAAACTAACCAATGGTTATAGCCCACGAGCTCGGGAAATTCGGCCATTGCTGTCGCTCCAGGCTTTGCTGGGGCTTTTGGCGTCACGGCAGCTGCCCTCGTGGTATTGATCTAATTTTGGACACGTGCCTGAATATTGTATTCTCTTGGTTACGATCGCCCTTGGCGTAAATCATTCATATTATTAAATTGGTGCCACGATCTGATAATGGGGCTTGGGCGTGCATACATGCGTGTGATTTGAGAGCGGAAACGAAGCCAACTGGGCCTTGACTACCCTCGGTGTCCGTTGCCATTCAGCTGCGATAAATTCGGGAAAGAGGGCGAAACTCAGGGATTCGATGTTTTCAAGCGCATTTCACGTATAGACAAGCTACAGGAATGATTTTGCCTTGGTAAACTAGGCAAAAAAGGAGTGACGAGAGTGGGATTCGAACCCACGCTCCGAAGAACTAGATGGCATGTATATGTGGGTTCGAATCCCACTGCCTTAGTCTAGCGCCTTAGACCGCTTGGCTATCTCGCCATACGTTGATGTGCCAAAATAAGTATTCATCGCAGCCTCTTGCATCATTAAGCGATAGACCATCTTACAGTAGCTCCTCTAGCTCTACAATTTCCTCTACTGTGTATCATTGGTCTCTGAGGGACGAGTTTTCACTATTATACCGGAGCCTGTAGCTCGCCAAGACGAAATGACCTAATCATAGCTCGACACCACCACTGGTCTGCTCTTAGTGAACCTGAGCTCTAATCCTTTTGCAGCGCATACAACAATGGGGGAAGGCTCAGATTGAGATATCAAAACGTCCTCAAAAGGCGTATTTGGAGCGTTCTGAGGGCATCTTGGTGTGAGAAATCATGTGCAGGTTTGTGTATGCATTTTGAGATTCATGAAAATCCGTCCTAGCAAGCATAATTGCATGGGAATGCCCTGAATTCAAGAGCACTTTTCTCTCGACTACAACAGTGGGCAGTAAAGCAGCTGGCCCCCTTGCACCGGAGATCCCTGGAGCGAGTACCCGACTCGAGTTTATTGTGTGGGATATCAAGTCTCACCCTGTATTCGCTGAGGCTCACAAGCTCCATGTGACGGTGTGTAGGGCTGATCATAACACTGTCGACAGGAAATCGATGCGAGGGATTATCACTACATGTTGAGATAATCCTCGCAGATGTTTAAGATTCTCAACGAGATTTTTGCTTTTGTCGATCAGCGCTTACGCCAAGCAACATTCTGAGATGTATGCACAACATTCTCGAATATATTTATGAATATTTTTGCTCTTTTACGGTACCAGAAATTCTCACGACGCCCTGAGGTAAAATTGCCAAGTTGCGCCTTGACTGGACTCCCATCATACCGCCATCGATGGTCTGCCGCTTACCCTCACGTCTCTCAACTGGCCTTGCAAACGCAAAAGGACGTATTTCGACACCGGTCTACCCGCTAATCGACGGCTGAAACCACTCGCAGACGGGAGGAAGCACGATGCGTAGATGCACGCAACTTGTATATTACAACAGACTTGCATGATCCGCAGAAACGAATCAACTGTATCACGCTCTTGCTCCTGTGTAACGGGGTAGAGCAAACTCCTTAAAATCGTCACGGTCACATGGGCGTAGACAAACTACGTATCGCAGTGGTGGCTCATCTTCCCTACTAGCGCGACCGCCCAGGCTCATCCGCTCATTCGATCTCCGCCTATACCCAGTACAGTAAGGCTTCTACTTGCCTTTCACTTTGAAACATCACAAGCTCACCTAGAATATTACCCCCTCCTGTTCTTGTACTGCCGCCACACAGATAACACTCCCCTACACACGCTCGTTTGGGATTTTCGAACCCATTTCAATACTCTAGCCGGCCTGGGTGTCCGTAGTTTATAACGGTCAAACTTGGTGGTAAGTTTCCACCTCATCCAATTGGCCATACAGACAGCTGATTTCTTCGCCCTGCAATTTTATCCATGCAAATGCGAAAGCGCGGCTTCGATTGTGTGAAATCCTCGCTCTTATGGACATCTCTTTGGCTAGACAGTAAAGAGTGAGTCGGAGATTACTCATATTCAACCAAAAGGCGTAGCCCTAACCTTTGTCCCACGAACGCTCTTTCCCTTAGTCTCGTTCATGTTTTCCAGCATTCCCAATATATAGTGGACCTATAGTGGAACGTAAGTCCGCTCCACAACGAGTCGAGTTCGGTGTTCACCATTTGAGATAGGACTTGCTGTCTTGTCGCTGATTTCAGACCAAGTACTGGTGACATTTCGAGGGACGGCAATAGAGGTACGTAATTTGCTTTGAAGTAAAGCTAATATGACTATACACGAGAGCAGGGAGCTTTGTTGGGCCAGCGAGGGGGCGAGGGTTGTTTCGTGTGGTAGGGTCTGGAGGTGTGTGATTGACGGTAATCGGAACGCTGGGCTCGACCATTCATCAGAAAACTCGTATTTGACAGGTTTATGCCTCGACGCGGGGGATATATGTGGAACTGAGCAAATTCAAACATACTGTAAGTTTTGTGCCCGCCGGTCCTGGGCGAACACTGTTGGTCCTTTTGAAGTTGTCTCAATTATATGTATTTGAACTCGAGGCGACTACCCCTCCAAGAAGCCACCTACAAGATGAGTCACAAACTTAATTATCAACAACTGTTTGTTCTCCTTTTATAGCCTCAGATGGGTCGCCGGAGCGTTTCTCGGGATGCCACTCTGCGACTCAGCGGGCTTAGGATGACTGATTGATATGTATCCTGTTACGGCCATATGAAAATACATACGAATAAATTTATTTTACAATGAACCGAAATTAATTGCCAAGATTGCTGAATATGTTCAAATAGTCCCGCACGGATTATTCGAACAAATCGAAGATTCGAGAATCTTAAACATCTGCAAGGATTATCTCAACATGTTGTGATAATCCCTCACATCGATTTCCTGTGGTCATACTTTATATGCTTCAACCTACTTATAGGTAAGCTGCTTCTATTAGGGTATCGTCGATTTTAACATCATTGAAGCTCTGTTGAGCAGGCCAAGCATCTTCGCGCGCCTGTGAGTCCTGTATCTCACCCGTTGACGTCTATCTAATCCGGGCTACTTATAGTGGATGACTTTCCATAACGGCTAAAGCTAAAGCTAGGCTATTCTAAAGGTGGAGCGATTACAATGAGCAGTAATCAGATATTAGTAAATTATGACGTCATCCAGACTTTAGCTTAGCCTATCTTAGCTTTAGCTCTTACGGGAAGTCATCCAGTAGGGCCTAACAATCAAATCTGACCCTTAGCAATGCGATCCAAAACTCACCTGAATGAGGGACTCTCCGAGAAATGTATACCGTTCGCCCTTTGGCTTCTGGCGGTATGAGGCAACTAGGTCTCCCGACGCCTTGATATCACTAATCGAGGTTGTAGCGTTATGGTCAATACGAGGCTCGGAGGCTAGACCAGACATGGCGGTCTTGTTGATGGCCAGTTTGGGCCGTTCTTGAGTATTAATCGCAGTAGCTTCGGTGAAGTTAGGGCGACGAGAATAAACCACTGGAGCAGGGGGATTAGCTACAGCCTTGGCCCAGCGCGTCGCCTGCGTCTCTTTGTAATGTTCAAACTCCAAGGTGAACCGACCAAAGCCGTATTGCAAATTCTTAAGCGACTCTTGCATCATAGCAAGCTCCTTGCCTTGCTCCTTAATTGTCGCGTTGGAATCGGCTATCGTCCACTACAACTCGTGGATCTCTCGCTCATACGGACGCCATCTCGGATTAGGTAAGACTGAAGTCGAGAACTCGGCTGCATTCACAGATAGATAAGTCCTAGACCAGCTTCAAAGACGCTTACTAGCCTTGGTTTTCCGCCCGCTGCTTTCCTTTTCCCTGGAAGTCGTTCTCCGGGTCAACTTGGTTGGCACCTATATAATGTAGCATTCCATATTGTAAGAGATTTTCGTGCTACGATTATGTACTCACTGCCGTCTGACAGATCGGGCTCGAGGTACGAGCATATACCGTCGAACTCGGGGCTTCGCGAGCACTCGCAGTAATGATATGTCGAACTTGCTCGGAATGACCATAGCTCACGGAAACCACAGTCCGCGACAGGGGCAATTGATAGCGAGGGCTGTTTTTTGAGCAGGCGTGGGCGTAGTGGATCGATTTCGCAGGGGGCTACGCTTCTTGGACGCCGGTATCGACAAACTCGGCGGCACCCATGGCCCTTTGGCAGGTAGCGTCGACGTATCACCTTCGTAATTGCAGAGATCGTACTCTCTGACCTTGCGCGTTGACATCTTGAAGGGGGGCCAAGAGACGCATGAAACATCCTGAGGCGGTATGTTTTATCGTTGGTTTCCTATAGACACATCTGACCTTCAATTAAGGCATTCAACCGCACAAAGCCGTGTCCAACAACCGACGGGATTCTGCCAAGTTGCTGGGCATTTGCCTGCGGTGGGTTGTCCCAAAATAACTGTTTAACCTGTTAATCCAGGAGGGATTGGCGTTCTGCATCTTATCACGAAGCTCTGTTTTGGGGGACGCGGGTGATTCAAACACAATCTGATCATGTATGGATCATCCTGTTATGTCTATGATTGAATTCTATTCAATTATGCCCTATAATATAATCGCATACATTTTGCTTGGAAGATCAAATATCTTTAAATAACCCCGCACGGATTGTCTACATATCTTGAAATCCCAGATTTCATTAGATTCCCGACGGTTAATCAAAGATCTTTAATAATCGCTCGCCATGACTTCCAGTAGGAGGCCATCTTGAGAATCCTCAGAATTGTCATGAAATTACCCTTCACATATTCTAAGCGCCGCATTTTCATCGCATTTTGATCACCTCAAAATCTGGGCTCTCCCCCCGGTGCAAGTTGAGAGTCAAACTGCAGATGTGGCTACTACGACAGGATCCCTCAGATACGTTTGGGATTGTTTCGGTTGCAAATCCTGTTTCTGAAATGTACAAGCCCGAGAGGCTGTTTCTCATGTAAGTGGGCTGCAGAGATCATTCGAGTTTTCCAGCAAGTCAGGGGTTATTTATATACTGGCCTCAGTGTTTGTCTAGAGACTGGCACCAAACGTGGCCCGTGCGGTGGGATTGCTTCCGCGGCGCAAATTCAGGGCTGGCTCGGACATAACGGATATAAATTCGCCACCCCCGCCGCACTATTCCTCATCCTTGATTACCATTTGCAAGCGTGTCGAACCCAACTCACCTGCTCGTAACCCCAAGCCTTCTAAGGTTTCCAAGGCGTCTGATCCGTCCGAGAGTGCGTATCCGGCGCATTCTGTGATTTCATCTCGGCTGACGCGTTCGACAGGTACTCGTGGAGGTGAAGGTGGAGGCGGACGTGGAACTAGCAACGCATCAATGCGTGGTGGTAGCAATGCCTAGGCTCGTGCTGTTGGCAGCGCTCAAAATGGTGCGTCGAGTGATATCGAGGAGATCTCCAAACGTAACGTTTGCAACTCGCGCTAATGCGTCCATAGCCATGTCAGGACCGTTCC